ATTTGTGTTGTTGCTTTAATTGTTGCTGTGACTTTAAATACACACATAGAAAACCCCACCACACACACACACACGCATACATACACACACAATCTTTCTCCTGGTTTTTTGGGTCATTTGCATAATTTCTAATTAGCAAGTTTATGAGAACGAGGTTTGCGAGGGACAAAAATAGACTGAGGGAGAGATCGGTGCCAAAGTTTGGTTTATGTGATAACTCAGCTGATCTTGAATGCAGAAAATGTATTTTCTCCTTTTTTTTGTTTTTTTGTAGACTCAGTTGTGTCTCTGTCACAACTAATTCTGGAAACCTGCTTGGTAATATTTGTGTTTGGGTTTTATTATTATTATTTTTTTTTTACGTGTGATTTTTGCATGACAAAGCCCTGCGCTGAGTCTTGGTGTGTTGTGTTCTCATGCTTTATTTGCATGTCTGTTTTATTTTTTATTAAACTGGACTGATGTTATTGTTTCCTAACAAACATGTCCTGGTTTAATACTGTTGTTTGTTAGAGGAGCAAAGAGTTCTGAACATACGTGAGCCATAAAGTAGGAGCAAACACAATCTCCCACTGACCTATATAGCTCAAAATGGCTGCCGCTGTACAGCTGTCCTCCTACGCAGGAGAGTATGGAGCAGCAAAGGAAAGGAGTGAGCGATAAGGGTGTGTGTGTGTGTGTGTGTAGGAGTAAGCAGGTAGAAGAATCAGAACGTCAGCATCCTCAGGGCTCCAACCATCACTCTGTGCGCTACAGTTTTTACGACTTCTTCCTGCCACCTGTCGTAATTCTCCGRGGCTTATTCCCTCTGACTCAGTCCATCATGTTTGTCTCTTTTTCATTCATCCCTCYGTCTTTAATCTTCTCACTGTGTGAATCATCCTACACGGCATGATGTCTCCCCTCTGTGCTGCTCCTTGCTTTCCATTCCTGTTCCTTTAACTAAACAGTCCCACTTCCTCTTCTCCGTTTGCCTCTTCTGCTCTGTTTTCTTTTCATCCCATCCTTTAAAAAAATCCTTTAAAKGCTAATCTGACATCAGTAGCAAGTTGCTCTAAATACTGTATACTAATCTATGAGCACACATTCATATGACTCATCCCCTTGAAGCAGTGCTTGTAGGAATAAAAATGGTATCTGCTTGACTGTGTAAAAAAAGTGGTGAATAAACTTAGTAGGTTTTGTCCATTCTTAGAAGTGTGTTCTACCTTGTGGCTGTTGTGTAACTAAAACCTAATATTTGCAGTGAAAAGTGTTGAACCATTGCAGGTTTTGTCCCACCGACTTGTTTAATCTCCTGTTTAAATGAGCAAGTTTCCTGTGGTCTCATGGTTTTTCTTACTTTGTTTCTTTTTCTTCCTTTCTAAGCTAACCACCGACGAGCCGGTCAAGCCGTGACCAACATCCTGGCCAAAGAGCTGATGCAGGAAGACGCGCCTTCGTCCAGTAAGATCCCCGCAAAAAAGGCAAAGTCTCAAAAGGAGGAGCCCACACTGGAAGGAGCAGAATCTTTAGAGGAGCTGCTGGATATTGCTGCCTCTCGCTCCAACTAGGCTTTCATTCACACATTCAGTGATTCAGGAGCCAACATCTATTTGACATTTAATTAAAAAAACATTTTTAGGGGGCCTTTTTTTTTTCTTGAGTTGGTGAAAAGCAGAACTTGATCCCCAGCCTTCACCCCTAAAATGTTTACCAACATCAGAAAGATTTATCTTACTTGCACCAACATGTTGAAATGTTTTGTTCTTCGTCACATATCACCTGTCATTTTTCACAGGAAATCTTAAACATTGAAAGACTTCCTCAGAAAGAGTACACCCCCCCCACCCCCCATTACTAAAAGTTACCCAGGGAACGTTGGACACATTCCACATGTAGTTCAGATTGCTTTCTGGACGTTCCACCCATGTCCATTTAGTTCTTCATGATTAAATCTTTTAATTGATTATTGCTTTGTAATTATTTGAGATACTGTATATCACTGTGATCTTTTTATTTTATTTTTTGCTGTAATAGGAAAGAGAAAAGTGCCAAGTGATAGATGATCAGCCTTATCATTTCACTTAAAGGTGTCCAGGTGTAGTTGATGCTGGTTACAGGTTTGGGTTTTCTGAACAGCACTCATCATCTGGGTTGTAGGGGTGTGCATGCATCAGTTTAATTTTATTTTATTTTTTATTAGTTTTGGCGGAGGCTTTACATGAACTTGTTGAAGTTGTGTTAGCGCTCCTCTGCATTTATATCTGGAAAACAGGCTTTCATTCCTGAACATAATTCTTGCAATAAGCTCTTCCTGAAAGTAGAGTTGGATAGAAACCAAAAGAATTTTGCTTTGCTGCAAACATGTAGTCTGAGTAGTTTACATGCCTGTGTTTTTTGTGTGAGAGCTGCCTATTTTTAGTTTTGGGTGCACAAAGTACGTGTCTCTTTGTGTGTGTGTATGGGTTGCCCTCTGTAATTACTGTACCAGCCAGGCTGTCAGAAATTATACTTTTTTTTGCTAAGAATCTTGCTCACTGGAAAACGGCCCAGAAACTGCTGAGACAAGTGTGTGTGTGTGTGTGTGTGTGTGTGTGTGTGTGTGCGCGCGCGCGCACACCCACAATTCCTCCCACTGAACTACAGAGATCGTCTGAATGTCTGGCCTCACTTCTGTTTGTATTCAGCAGCCATCAGCATACATGTTGCCATGATGCTGTGGTGTAAAACCTGACAGGAAGCCTCAGAGGTGATGTCACGTTCCTACAATGCAAACCCAGCCCGACTCCGACGCCCAGCCTGACTCAGGACGTGGATTTTAGCTCCAACCCATCAGTGCTGCTTATGCGATTGAATGTCATAACAGCACTGATCTTTCCTCTCCTATAAATATATCTTTTTTTTTCTCTGAAAAAGTGGCACTCGAGCTCCTTAATACAAAATTCATTGCAGCACATGTATAGAAATCTTTGCTCACATCATGTGGTTTTTTTTTTTGTTTTGTTTTTTTAATGCTAGGAACACTGATATTGTTGAAAGATTTACCGGTTAAACTGCTGCGCCTGCACAAAATCACATCGTCACTGTATTTAAACAGAAAATAGCTATTTTGTTGCTTTTTCAGGTAAAACTGCACCAGGTGATTGTTTCAACCAATGCTGGAAGTTTGATGATGATAATTATTGAAACATCACTGGAATTTTTTTTTCCTATCGGTTTGAGTCATTCCTTTCTTCCAGTAATCTTTTTTTCTTTTTTATATATATAAATTGTGTTCTATATGACTTTTTTGATTATTTTTATTGTATTTTTCTTCAGATTGCTTTTTGCAGACAGATTAATGCACAAATATGTTGTTTGTTACACTGAACTATTAAAATGTCTTTAAGTAATTTTCTTGATCTGATTCTTTGTTGTTTTTTTTTTGCAGAACTCTGAACATATCTGGTCTCATCCAGTTCTTTTAGAATCATTTTTGTGTCAAATCAAAGTCATGGTTTGTAATTTTTCTCAGTCTCATGTAAACACTTGGTGCAGTAAAACACCAGCCGCTCGCTGCACTCCGTGGTTCAGTCATTTTAAAACCAGAAGAATGAGTAAACAGTAGAGCTGCATATTTTTACAGAGARATCCAAGAATTTTCCATGGCTCACGTGTCAAAATCAAGGCCCGCGGGCCAAATGCTGCCCACTGGTGACTTTTGTCTGGCTCGCCAAGACATGGAAGACTTTAGTTYAAGGGTTCCCAAACTCTCTTGTGCTTTGGCCCCACTAACCGTATTACCGTCTGCTTGTTTTAAACACTATCAAATTGCCGACTTTTCATCAAACTGTTGACGATATCGAAACAAAAGAAATTAAAAGCCTGTTAAGGGTTCTTAAATATAAAAAGAATATACAATACTTTTTAAAAAACTTTTTATTGTCCTTCCAGCTTTCTGCAGCCTCCACTTTGAAAAACACAAACTTTCTTTTTTTTTGTCTTCTTTTTCTCTTGTCACTAAGTCTGTTCTGACCCCATTTTTAAACAAGCTTTCCTAATTTTTTTAAGTTAATCTTTTTAAAATCCACCTAATTACAAAATACATTTTTAAAACAAATGTTATATTTAAAAGGAAAAATAGTTACAAACTTTTGAAAACACTGCTTCATAGAAGCTTTATATTTGTATTTTTGTTAGGTGAGCTGTACTTCTGGATCTGCAGGTCCTTTACAAAAACACATCCTGAAAGAATACACAAAGTATGAAATATAATTGCATATGTTAAAATGTAAAATTACACAAGTTAGCTGTATTGATTTGTTTAAAGGTAGACTCAATATATTAACATTTTTTACAGTAAGTTTTCTTCTTTTCCCCAGTCAGGATGTGATTATACGTACACTGTTTCTCATTTAGAATTCAGTGTGTTTTTCAAGGAGCATCTTTCTTCAAACACTAAATGACTAAAATCAATAACAGGAGGTCTTCTAAAAGAAATACAAATGAAAGATGGGAAAAGAATCAGCCGGTGTGACATAAAAATTATATTTGGATAAAAAAAAGAAAATGCAGTTTTTAATTCACTTAAAACAATAAGCTGCCTGAAAAGGTGTGTGTGCGTGTGTGTGTTTTCTGGACTTTTGCCTCCTGTGTACACTTCCTCTTTGCAGGGTTTGTTTTAGATTTGCATGTTTGAGTAGACTCAGCCTACAGGTGTGTTCCTCTGTGTGTGTGTGTGTGTGTGTCAGGGTTTGTACCTGGGTGTTTTGTTACACCTTCTTGTGACTCTGTTTAGTGTGTGTTTGTGTAAAAACCTGTGACACAGCTACACAAAGCTTACATTTTAGATTTTAAAGCTGCCCTGTAAATTTGAAATCCTGTTGTGAACACACACACTGTTTTTATCTTTAGCATTGTTAAACTTATAGACAGAAATGAGTTTTGGTGGTCTTGTTGTCAGTCGTGGTTACATTTCAACTAATGTCTCATTATTATGAGTTTCATGTCCTCCTGATTCCCAGACTCCCCTCCTGACATTCTGGGGAGTCGGGGGGACAGATTTGTATGCGTGTGTCAGTCTGTGTGTGTTTCAGAGCTCCCATATAAGGAGGGTTTATTGGAGAAAAGAGATCAGGACAAAGGACAAGGGGGGGCCAGTATAATTGGCTTTGGCAGTGCCAGACGACACAATGACTCGGCCATCGATGGAGTGGGCTCCGGCTGCGCTGGACCAATTGTGGAGCAGGAGGCTGTTTTCCACAGCCTCTGATTGGCTGGAGGAGGGAGGCTGTCGGTCTCCAGGTAGCAAAGCTCTGAGCATCTCTGCCACCCCTCCTGGAGGAGGAGGAGGGAGCAGGCGTTGGGAGAAATGTGACCTCAGCTGTGAAGGAAAAAAAAAAGAAATATAACAGAACATCTTTTACTTTCTGTATCCTCTCCTGCTTTGCGTCCCCTGACCCCTCTTCTGTGTGTTTGCATTTCTTCGGCTGCTGTTAGCATCACCATGCCCCTGGCTCTGAAACAAAACGTGTTTATCTTTGAACTTGGCTGCACAGCTCACCTTTTTCTCCCCCCCTCTCTCTCTCCCTCGGCCTCCATTTCTAAAAGCAGTGTTTAGATTGGACATTTTTCAACATTCCTGCTGCTTGAAGAGAAAAATTTACTCATTTAAACTCTAATAAGAGAGTTTGTTGATGGGAAAAAATACATTTTTTTGCAATCATCTGCTTTATTTTGAATTTGCCTAAAAGGAACATCCCACCCGTGTTTGTTCTTCAAGCCCCTCTCCCTGCAGTCATTATATCTTCATGATTTCAATGTGATCAAATTACTCGGCTGCTTGTACAACAGCCTCCCTGTGACACACAATTAACAGATAATTAACACGGGTCAGGGAGAGGTAACTGATTGACCGTGGCCTCACCGGTGAGTGACATCTCCATCAGTCGTCCCCCTGAAGCATCATAAAACATGCAGGAAACTGTCCACCTGACTCTGACTTGTCTTTATTTCATTCTGCTGATCTGTTTACTAAACAGAGATGTTCTCTTAGATGTTCACTCATTTCCACCAGAATACCATCATTCATTCAGTTTGTCCTTCACCTGCTCCTGGATTGTGTGTTTACTCAAATACAAGAAGAAGAAACAGATGTGCTCCAAAACAAAATGACCTTTGTGCTGAGAACACATTCAGTGTATTCTTCCTGACATGCTGTAATAAAAGGAACTTTCAGTGACTAACAATTCACAATGTCAGAGTGAGAAACCGTTCCTGAAGGCATTTGCTGCAGCAGAGATGTGGTGATGCTGAAGGTCTGTGGTTTGTGAAGTGACAGTCACAGTAATCATGATGTAGATCTGCTTCTCTTCCCTCCAGATCTGAATATCACAGAGCTCCTCTGTTCTCCATCGGGAAAGGGTTCAGCTTTTTCGGAGGGGGGTGTTGCTGGGAAGAGACAAACGCTGGTTTAAAATGAACAGACGATCTTTAAGAGATGAAAAAAGTTGATGTAAAAAAGAAATGGTGCAGTAAACTCACATGGAGTTTTAACCCACAAAGCTGTTACTGAGCAGCCATGCTCTAACCACAAGAATTTGACCCTCTGACCTATTAATATTTTTTTCCTTGTTTGCATTCATGCTCACATCAGGTTGTAACAGAAATGATCCAAATGAGAGTTTAAGCTTATTAAAGGTGTGTGTGTGTGTGTGTGTGTGTGCACCCCCCTCCTGTCCACTCACATGGATGGAGGTCAGGGAGTCATCAGTCGATCGACCTACATCAGCTGAGCCTGCAGCGGTCTGACCTCCTCTTAGGATGGTAAATGTGTGAGTATGGTATATATGTTGCACACACACACACACGTCCTGTGAGAAAATTTGGGCYTGTCTCCGTTTGGGGTAGGGGGCAAAGATCTGCACTGACGTTTAGAGGTCAACAAAGAGGAAGTCAGAGAAGTGGACAAGAATCATACTAAGTGTGGTTATGTCTGGATGAATCTACACGACGAAGCGTGCATGCTTCAAGGTATTTTTACTGGTTTCATGCTTATCTACAACTTATTCATGGTGAAGTGAGATTTTGTGGAAGGTAACAAACAATAAACATCTTACCTGTTGTAGATGGACAATTGAATGACCTTGGTGTACAAAGATTTATTTCACACAGGACTGATGAGCTAAAGGTGTCATTTTCACACCTGTTCACGTGGACTCTGTTTTATAAGCCTGCAGAAACAGCTGTCAGGTTTACAATATAATGCGTTACACATTGGCTCGAAAGGTGACAATTAAAGCTAAATACTTCCACATGAGCTGCAATATGTTTATAATAACAGTTAGGTCATTCAGATGTATAACTACTGGTAATTTAGCAGCAAAAATTATTTTATCGCTAGGTGTCAGATTGTAGTATGCTGAGAACATCACTAGTTAAAGGATGTCACAAATCGTGTGAAGCTCTTTGAGTATCCTGGTTGGATACAAAAGTGTGATATAAGTAAAATCTGTTTACAAACACTGAATTCAATCAGAATAAAAATGTGATCTAAAGGTTTATAAAGTAGTGTTGAGACGGCAGCACTCTTGTATGTTNGTAAAATCTGTTTACAAACACTGAATTCAATCAGAATAAAAATGTGATCTAAAGGTTTATAAAGTAGTGTTGAGACGGCAGCACTCTTGTATGTTTTTCAGCTTATTTAAAAGGATAGCTTTTTAGCCTAAAATGTAACATTTCATCAAACTTGCCAGCTTATTTAGAAAGACCTTTCTGGTTTATCTAAACAGGGAAGGGGAGAGATTTTGCTTTGAGGGGAACGTTGAGTGATTTTTCACAATAAGATTCCTTTAAAATGACTAAACAATGAAACTGAACAGAATACATAAACCAAGTTATTTGTTCTTTTTTTCCTAAACATGAAGAATGAATAAAACTGCTGTTAAAAATGGCAAAATATTCTTTGTTAGAGGTATGACATAATTCCTTTTGACCGGTAACCATGGTTACCGTTACCTCCTGCAGACAAATATCAGCACCACAGCCTGACTTTTTCTCTCTCCCACTGTTTGTTTTCCTAACCTTTCCCTTTTCTTCCTCGCTAATCCCTTTTTCACATCCTCCACTTGTCTTCCACGTTCCTGTCTTCTTTACTCCATCTTATCTGTGTCTTTTCCTAAAACATGCTCTGTTAAATACATGTCCCTGCTGTTTTCAAAGGGGGGGCTCTCCTGCTCAGTTTCCTGACGGTACGGGGTGGTGGTGGTGCTGGAGGAAACGTATGAAATGAAAACAAAGAGGAGGACTGGAGATGACCCACATCAGCAGCGGGGGAACACAGATGTGAGCACGTAAAGCTGCAGCTGAACAGGTCTGCAGCAGTGATGCTCAGACAGGCAGGATGTGATGATGGATCAGAGACAAGAAATGAACAAAKCAGCAGACAAACAAACAGACTTCAGGTTAGTTGAAGCTGTGTGCTCATGCTGGACCCATTTTTTAAAAGAGTTTGAGCAAATGTCAGTGGAGGAAAAGGGTCCAGACATTCATACAGGACGTGAGGGAAAGAGACACATTACGCCTTTGTGAAGCTGCATTATAGTAAGCAGCTTATGGTCTCAGCTGCTTCTTTGTGTTTAAAGTGGGCGGACACGAGAGTACAAAAACACTCTGYGTCCTCCTCTTTTTTGTCTTTCATCATGTCTTGTCTTCTGGCGATCGACTCCCCGTGATGTTGGCATCTCTCCTCCTGCATGAAGAGGGGAGGGATGAGGATGGAGGCGGTTGCCTTGGAAACTGGAAGTCTTTTTTTATTTAATTTTTTTTTTCGCCCGCCGACATCATCTGCTGTTGCGCCATGYGGATCGGACGCATGAATATTTGATCTTTATGCACACAGACAAGACAGGGACCTCMACTGAGCCCAGAGAGGTCATGAAATGAGGAAAAGATTGAACAACAGAAGAAAAAAGAAATATTTAATCTTATTTAGAGGAGCATTTGGGTTAGACAAAAGGGACAGGTGCAGGAAAAATACTCCTGATGGGTTAAAAATAGACAAATTTTGGCAAAATAAAGAGTTTTGAGCTCTGATTTAAAAAAATGTAGAGTAAAGAAAAGATGAGAGAGAGAGAGAGAGAGAGAGAGAGAGAGAGAGAGAGAGAGAGA